ATTCGCTCAGTAGACCATAAAATGTTCAAAAAAGGCTTTCCTGTCATTTGCAACAATGATTTAAACTTTTGGTGCAGTTACAGCCTATCAGGTCAATAATCCACATTTTTATACAAGTCCCTAAATATGCATTTATGACACTCACAGTAATGGCTCCCAGGGAGCTCTTACAGGCTTGAGTCAATAATCCATGTTTTTTAAAAGTCTATAAACATGACTGCACATTCATACAATATATATTTTGGTCTATCACCCATGTCGACATTGATATACTTGTATAAAGTGTTGGGTAGCTTCTCTTAAAAAAAAAAAACCAAAAAACCCCCAAAACTAAGCAACTGCCATATTATAAATGTAATGAAGACTTTGGGAGGGGAAAAACCTCAGTTTGTGAAACTTGTCAGATTAACTGAAGTCAATTAATGGAGCTGTTACAATATATGTCAGTCAGCGACCAGAAGGACAATGATAGCTAATAACAGCAGAGATAGGCAGGCTGCCAAGTATCGTATCCAGTTTTGACACCTTAAAACTGCACCTGTCCTGAAGGAGGGGAGATGTCTTGTTAGCAGGGGCCCAGTGTTACTCAAGGCAATTCACTCCTCTGTGAACCCCCTGCAAGAAAGAGGGGGAAAGCATAAAAAGCCTTTTTTTCTGTCTATCCTTAAAATCTTCTCTTCAGTATCTTTTTATTAATGACTCCAAACTCAGGAAGGCATATGATTGCTTATCTCTGTGTTGTCTCTACCAAAGATCTGCTTTAGTGAATATTTAATCCCTAACACTTAATCAACAAAGCCTGAGCAACGAGACAAATAAGAGTAGAGAAAATGAGTTTGTTTAGATTTTATTCAAGGAAAGGCCATGTAGCAATAATAGGGATGTGGGGTGGGGGGAACATCACAACCATTGTAAAGATTTCCAGATTATTATTTCTAGTGGTATTTGGATAGGCTTAGTTTTCTGAGCAACTTCTAGGCAATCAGGCATGAAAGTCAGATTATCTGTATGCATTGTTACCTTTCAATAGAAAGCAACAGCCAACGGGCATTTTCTACAATTCTAGCCAGAAGCCATACTGTGTTGTTGTAAGGCTTTCCATGCCTCTGAGACCCACTCAGTAGCATGCTGTATCACAGCATTCCCATTCAAAACCAAGACCAACATGAAATATCAAAAGTGTTCATGGAATGAGTGGGTTTTTACATGAGTAAGAGATGAATGTCTACAACATAATCCTTCTCTTAAACTTTTTGGGGTCAGGTATGTTTGCACAGCACCTAACACACTTGTTTATTGATCCGTGACTCTATTGTTCCTCGGTATTGCAACAATGAAAATGTAGTCTGCGCTGTGAAAAAGTTGGAGAATCCCTAATGTCTGGTAATATTTTATAATGTGGACAAATGTCCTGCTTATAGAAGAGAGCCTGGGTTGCAGCATCTGGATCTGAATGTAAAAGACTGCAAAATATAGGAGATCCAGGCCTGGGACTTTGTTTCATTGCATTAAAAAGTTGAATCAGGTTTAATCTCTTGCTCATCTTTTAGTATGGGTAAGGACAGAAATTATACATAAACCGGCATAAGCAATCGGAAACCAGTTCAGATCTGTAACACACAAAATGGCTGAAACTGGTTTAAGATAAACCTGAATGGGTGTAGTATCAGACTTAACTGATTTAGGTTAAATGGGTTTATTGAACTTGTGTCCCACATCCTCTCCAGATTCAACTTAACTCACAGTCCCCCTGCATCCCAGGATGCTTTGCACCTCCCTCACAAACCTCCCCTTACAGGATGGGTGAGCTAGCTTTGGCCCTGGCTGTCTGCTAAAGCTAAGTAGGAAGGCGGGCTCTAGCGCCCCCCAGCTTCTGGCCTGGGGCACTGCTGGTATATGGCTGCATTACCAGAATCAAAGGTAAACGCTTGCTCGCTTGCTTATTGGTTCAACCTACACAGCTTAAATTAACTTGCAAAGACTGAATCAACTCAGCCTCACGCTTTTTGACCGTCTGTAGATAGCCACTATGTTTATGCAAGTAATGCAGGTGCGTATTTTCTGTGCAGCCTTCCCTGACCTCTCTACGTGTGCACAGATTTTCATGGGCACACTTGTACTTCCACTCTACACGTGTACTTTTCAAAATCAAGCACTTGTGTGCACAGCTATCAAAATGTGTCCCTGCAGAATCTCTTGCAGCCAAAGATTTTGCAGGGGCAAATTCTAACACTTGCCGGGATGGCCGATGGGTTAATAGTATTTGATATGAAACATTTGGCATCACGCACCAAATTTTTGTCTGAAAACCTGTGAAGTAGAGGCTGAAAATTTACCCTGAGCATCTTCTTATGATATAGCATTTTATTTTGGTGGAGGAGGGAAGATTTTTTTTGCCATACGATTTATAGGCTACACCTATTTTGAAAGTCCCAGTTAATAAAGAATTAAACCGAATAGTAGCAACAAAAGTTTCATTCCCTTAAATTGTCTTCATAGCTTCATTATGTTTCACCATTCTCAAATACCCCTGTCCTCTTGAGTTAAATGCTTTATTGCAACATGAACTTGAGCTTCAACGGTGTAATTATAGGTGTTATAGAGCTCATCAGCCACAGCCCATTATTTTGCCTAGAAAATCGAGTCAGCAAGACCAGCTTTTGTTCACTGATCTCACATGGTTACTAGGTCCTGCCTGGTAAATTAACAGGAAAATAAAACATTTAGCTTACTTGCAGTATTTACAGGACCATACGTGCAGTATTTTCGATGTGCATTTTTGCCTGTTAAAAGCCCAGCTCACACGCAGTCGAATCTGCCAGTTTATCAGGGTCAGATCATAACTGTATATTTGAATACTGTATCTCTGGCCTGATTCTGAAGCCAGTCAGTTAGGTGGGATTTTTATTTTCCATTGACCTCAATAGGATTTGGATCAAGCTCAGTGAGCCCAAATCCCCTTTTCCCATGGGACGCTCGATGGGGCCTCCATTCTGTGATGCTCTCTTCGTGCTGTCAAAACCATGGGTTGCATCTGCCATTGCACACATTGGCTCATAAAAGAGCTGCGTCACTTGGCCAAATACCTACATACGTAATACAAGACCCAGCTCTTCTTGTCACGAAAACTTAAGTGTTAACAGTGGAGCCCATCTTGTCCCAAGTTTGCAAGCTCATCAAGCCTAAGTCCCTTGTGTATGTGACCTAGGGACATTTACCTTAATGGACATTAACCAGCTTTGACTGGCTCATCCTGTAAAGGGTTTGAATATTTAAAATGGTAAAGCATTTCCACGTGGGGCAGGGTCCGTCTCAGTTGGGGGCCTTGAGCTATTGTGGATTTTGGATGCGCTTGTCACATATCATTCCCAGTTGCGGAAAATACATGGATCCTCTTCAAAGAAAATAGTTTTTATTGGTCTCATAGAGAGATCCTCGACAAGGTCTTTTTTTTATAATTGCTGGGTTTACTGTACTGCAATATCCTTCCCTTCTTGGTATGCTACTATAATTATTGAATGGACTTCATTCACGTTGGGCTCGCACATCACATTATCTACTCAGTTATGTAGGAAAGCAAGACGGGAGTTTCTTCTCCAATTGGTCCTGCTGACTATAACTTCAGCAGTAGAAAAGGAAAGCCAAGACTCCTTGCCTGCTCCTCCTCTGCAAGGAAGTGCTCTCTCCAGAGTACCTGTCTCACTGCACCGATAGGGCATCAGTTGTTCCACGAGGGAGGTTGTGACTTCTTTGCGTCCCACAATAAGGCAAGAGCTGTGACTCAGATTCCCAGTTCATGCTCCGGTCTGAGTCTCTTGGGGGTGGCCACATGTTGCTAACTGCTTTACTGTAAGGCGTCATTCAAGAGACCACCAAAGACCTAAGAATCTAACTGCATAATCAATGGATTTTATATTATGCCACTCCTTGTAGGTAAAGCAAAGTACAATGGAGCGTCTCATAGTGGGATGAGAAGAATAGAATCAGTTCCATAATAAACCTAGTGAACCTTCTTACCCAACGTGCTCTTTTGCACGGTGTGGAAATTTTTGCATTAAGTTTTAAACCAATACTGCCGAATTTATGAAGCAAGTTCATGATGTGGACAAATATCCGCCAGCGAACAGGCTGGGACTATTAAATGCTTGGCAATTAGGAGCAAAAGACAATTTGAACTCGGGTCTTGAGAAATATAATGGGCAGTGAACTAACCCACTGTGCAGCCTAATCATCCTGTGCTGCATTGCTAAAGTGAATGGGAACAGTGCTCTTGACATTTCGTTTCTGTACACAGCATATGTCCTAGATGAGTATTCATAAACCATGCACTACTGTCTGTCCATCTATCTTTCCATGGCTCTGTCTATCTAAGTGACCAGCTGCAAATGTTACTAAAGCACAAGGACAAATTACTATGTCTGATGACCTGGGATTATCCAGGAATTTTGCTTCCATTGGGACTACCTGTTCGGGGCTTCTGGGGAGGTAAAAACCCTAGACTATACTAAGAACCTACAATAACTGATTCTTCCTCCGCATGACCTGAACACTGGGGTTGACTGCGATTTGGGAAGCTTATTTCCAGATGGATTCTCTGATTTACTGTAAATGTGTCAAAGAGCATAGCCTGGCAGTGTGAGGAAGAGAGATTAAATCAAACAGGAGGGTTTTTTCTGTGCTAACTGTATCTTCATACCTTCAGGTCCATACGATGACACGGCCCCTTATTCAGACCACAAAGTTGTATTGATCTGAAAGAGGCTAATAACCTACAACAGGCAGGAAGGATTTGGTGCCTTATCTTCTCTTGGGGGGGGAGGGGGCAATTATTTGCATTTCTTATTAAATCTGAAGCATTGCAACACCAGCCCTAGTTTGTAATCCTTTCGTAGGCAGACCCTTTCGTCACAAAGAGAGAGCGGAGCAGCATGCTTGGATGCTTTGAGTGGCCATTGCAGTTCTTCCTAATCAGTGTGTCAATATTCTCTCTCTTTTGCCAGAAGGAGGAACGTGTGAAGTTATAGCAGCACACAGATGTTGTAATAAGAATCGAATTGAGGAAAGATCACAAACAGTAAAATGCTCCTGTCTACCTGGGAAAGTGGCTGGGACAACAAGAAACAGACCTTCCTGTGTTGATGGCAAGTAGCACATCTAGTTTATACGTGACGTGTGGAGTATGTGCCTAGCAAACAGTCTATATGTGATGTATGATTGTAAACAGAGCTGTATTCCCCGATTTGGCCTTTTTTTTCCTTTTTTTAAGGACAAGACAAAAATTTATAAGTGTAAACTGTATGCAAAGAATCAGCCTTTTGCAATGCAGATATACCTTGCCTGCTGCCTTACAGACTGATTCTACAACCCATGCTCGGGCTATTACACACATGATTAGCAGCAGCACAGTCAGTGGAGCTATTCACATAAATGCAGCAAGTCTCATGGCAGAATCACACCTTTAGTAAACAGCCAGCCAATATTATCCCTTGCATCCCTTTGCTGGAGCCCCCACCTGCCTCATTAGCTTATTACAAGTGACAGCAATTGTTTGTCCTGATTGAGTTAACCGTTTGAAAAGTCAGCTGCCAAAAAAGCCCAGTGATAATAAGCATTGTGGGAAGATGGAAAGGAACTAGGCAGTTGATTTGGGTATGGCACATCTCCATTATTTAATAAAATCCAGCTCTGGACAAGGTACCCCAAGCAGAATTTTGTCATCTGTGGTTCCCCTTGGAAAAGAAAACTAGACCGTGGGGTTCCTATTGGACCTGGATGGTAGTTGGTACTCCAGCAGAGGTATCAAGACACATATTCCCGGGATTATCGTCCCTTATGTAATTCATTTCGTACCCGTGTGAACCAGTAATGCACACCGAGCAGAGTGCATACCCCAATGTTGAGCCAAATCCAATGTCTGAAGAAGCTGTTGAGTTCGAGGGCTTAGCTGCTGCTTTTGTTACACAGACAAACTGGTAAATGTTGCATGATCAGTAGCATCCTGTTAAACAAGGGGGGGAAGTTGTGAAATGTTTCTTCTTTATGTCTTTCACTTTTATTTGACCGTTAATGATCTGGTGACACCATTGCCTGTACTACTTTGCAGCGCCAAAAGCCATTAGGCATCACGTTTTCCTTTCACTCTGAATCAGACTGCATACTGCTCCGTGCCATCACGTTCCTCCAAGTGGCAGGTCTCAGCAGCGCGATGGTACAGCTGTTATTTTCAAAGCCTCCTATGTTCCCTATTCCGGTGCAGATTTAAAAATGTGGCTTTCTATCAGAGAGAGAGACAGATTTGACAATCTATTTTTCCTGGCCATCTTCCCTCAGTCACATGCTGCAGGATTTTCAAAGGGGCTGCCAACAGAGCAACAGCTGTTTCAATTTTAACTGAAAGTTAGATGAAAGTTCCTGTCGGCTTTATGGCCTGCAAAAACATTGGAGCCAGGGTCCTCTGCTGCTGTCGTTAAATATTAAGTACACAGAAAAAATATGCTGTTCACTCGGGGGGGAGGTAGACTCTTCAAACTTTCTCATCTCTTCTTTCTTTTCTTATAATTTCAAAAAGGCATTCAAGGTCTTAAATTGTGAGACCATAATTCAGAGCCAGTTACCCTAGAAATGCCATTCAACCTCTGGACTCAGGCCTAGGAATGCAACTATAGTAGTTGTGAAGGATTACACTTTAATTCACACCTTGTCATGTTTTATTGCTTAATTATTCTGGTACAAAGACACTCAGTCAGGGGAAAAAAATGCACTCTCAGGAAGCTGCAGGTGATACCTGTTGTTGGGCTTAACTAAAAATAAACTGGAAACTTTGAAGAATTGCATGTTCTGCATCAGGTCATGACAAACAGAGAAAATAGGTGCAATGCGGTGGCAGCATTTAATTCAGACGTTGCTGGTATAGTGGCTCCAAGGAGGAATGATGCTAGAAGTCAGCTGCAGGTGTGGATTGGAGTCGCTTTGCTTAATAGCTCTGTCTGGATTACAATGAAAAGCAATGTTATCAATTGGAGTTTTGAAAGGGGTGAGGATAAAACAAAGGCCGATGTGAAAGTGGACTCCTCCTCCCATTGAAGTCTGCGGTAAGACTTCAAGTGACTACAAGGGAAGCAAAACTGAACCACAAAGGAACCTCTTCCCCTTTTAAGTCGTTAATTGTTGCAATCAGGACACGGGCTCTTTTGTCAGTGATTGGGGAAGGGTTAGGATACCGATATCCTGTTTGCAAAGATCGACGGCAATGGCATTTTCTTGACCCTTTGTTTTATCCTCATCCTTAACATGTTGACCCATCCTGGGTCAAAGCCTTCAAGGTCTGTAAGTACTTTTTCAGCCTTCACTAAGGTAAAAACTCCTTTTATCTGATTTCAGTAAGAACTTTACTCGGGGCAGCTCCCAAAGCCTTCCTTCCTTGGTCTGGGCTTGTTTTTTAATTAGCGCATTAGAAAGGCTCATCTGAAAACACAATGCCCCCTTGAATGACTGTTGGAAAACACTAAAGCTGGTTTATTCTGACAAAAAGATGTACAAGGTACACTGCTTAAAGTCATAATCTGTCACAGAAAAGCTCTCCTCTATCCATGCCTTCAAAATGTGTTATGGATGCTCTTGCATACCTGCTGGCCCATCCACACCTATCCAGGCAGACACAGCTTGTTCTGAGAGGGGACTGGATGACTCGTGGGCTTGGGAAGAGAAAATAGATGCCATCTTGCCTACTGGACCCTGGCTCAGGGTGAATCGTTACCATGAGTCAAGTCATCTGCTTGCTATGCAGTTGCTTATGTGAATAAGTTGGGACCCTGACTCCATTAAAATCTGTGGGCCAAACTCCCTTATCTACTGGAAACAGGTTCAAGACCTTGATAGTTTAGAGCATTTCAGTTGCATCAGAAGATGCCCCAGGAGGATGCATGGATGCCAGCTGAAGCCAGGGTCTTAATGGACAGGATACAGAGCTTCTCCTTAACCCACATGGAGTCCCTGAGCCGGAGCAGGTGAGGTTGCAAGGCTCCTGTCCATGCCCTTTCTTTTTTTGTGGATAAACAGCATGTCAGTCGTAAGCAGCATTAGCCTGGCATTTTTCAAGGGCCATGGGAATTAGTGTGTGGACCTTTCACAACCTATTAGTCGTGATAAACAGCCCTTCCCTGCATAGAATGTATTTCTGCAACCCTTGCTCACGGTGAGCGGTGCTTACATAAGCAACCTCCTGGCTAGCGCGTGAAGTTCACCACGTGGAAGTGCTGCTTGTGCTGTGAAGGATGGGAAGTAGGCACTCGTCTTGAAGGATGCTCGGCAGAGCATCACTTCCCGTTGGATCAACAGGCTCTCAGACTTGGAAACAGAACCCGGTTGCCGAGACTTTGAGAGTACAGCCCGACTAGATTACAGCAGCATCGGCATTGTGTCATTAAAAAAAGCACAGAAGGATGCATATATACGCCCTGGGTTATACTGATACAAATTATACCAGGCCAGAAATGGACCGACAGGGTGCGTCTACACATTCATTAATGTGCCTTAGATATTGCACATTTCGTTTCCTCCTCCCTTAATAAAGGACTAACTAAATGCGCAGTACCTAAAGTTATGGTGGATATTTAGTGACACTTGGTTCAGCGACCCCTACTATGCATTAGCCTTATATCACTGTGCAGGAGGCTATTAGCACAGTTTTTGCCATGACACACCACTGCACAGTGTTGTTAAGCCAAGGTGCAGTAAACATCTCGTGTAGACGTGCCCACTGGTCCCTATCCTGACCTAGCTACCTGCAACATGTAGCTATCACTATGCCTCACTGCTTGATGGCAGGGGAAGAGGGAATGGCCTGTTTGCTTTTAGCCAGACAACACCTAACTGGTACATCTGGGACAGGTGGAGTTGCACCTCTGCTTCTTTCAAGGGTAATTCTGCCCTAGATTGGAAGAAGTCACCCCAGTGTAGGGGGCTCTGTCATTTGCCCTCTACTGCACCGTCGTAAATGCGCTGTCTGTCCAAGCCACAAGCTATCCCATTCTATCAATTGGGAAAACCTTATCCTGACGCCCACCCCATTTGCTGTGGAGTTACAGAGCAGCATAAGTAAGGGAAAAGCAAAATCTGAAGTTGCTCACTAAGCAGCAAAGCCGGTCTGTTGACTCATCTATTGTACAAACGATGCTGCTTGCTTTCAGGCTTTACTCCTCTCCTGCCCGTCTTTCTGCTGGAACATTTTGAGCACTTTCCCCCTTCTCAAAACTCATCTTGTGCCTCAGTCGGAGACATCCTTTGTCTTCAGAATTTGCCTTTTCACTTCATGCCCATGTTTGCTGTTGGATTTGTTCCTACTCTTACGTGCCCTCTTGAATTGCCCAGACATCTCCCACATGCTTAAGCCCCAAACCTATTGCTGCTGTCAGTGTGCTACCAAGCTCCTGATTTGGCTTCCTGACTTGCAAGCTGGAGTTTTAGACATGTAGGAATTGGCACTAAGGTTTGTTTCACATTCAGAATTTAGACTTGCATAGTTTTTATTGAACTCCTCTTTACAAAGACAGGTATATGAGCAAAATGTCTTTTTTATGCCATATGCAGGCTACCCCTGCATGGTCATATCAGCCATTCTTTTGAACTTGCACCTTCTCTCTCCACGGGGTTTTTTCCCTTCTCACTTGAAAAATCCTTTCGCTAGAGGTTTATTGCATGTATTTTCATCCTTCCTGCGCATATTTGAGCAAAATGGTGCAGTGGCCTATTAAGGTGCAGGTATGTTTGCCCAAATACCAGGCACTTTTTATTGTGCTAGCTGCCACCCGACTAATAGTGTTTCTTCTTTGCTGTGGGGGTTTATTCCTTTGACTCTGATGTCAATAAAAGGTGATCTGATGGCCGCCTACAAGTTTATCAGGGGTGACCACCAGCATCTGGGGGAACGTTTGTTCACCAGAGCTCCCCAAGGGATGACGAGGTCGAATGGTCATAAACTACTTCAAGACCGTTTCAGGCTGGACATAAGGAAGAACTTCTTTACTGTCCGAGCCCCCAAGGTCTGGAACAGCCTGCCACCGGAGGTGGTTCAAGCACCTTCATTGAACACCTTCAAGATGAAACTGGATGCTTATCTTGCTGGGATCCTATGACCCCAGCT